AGTTACCACTCCACTAAACAGCCCTGGGTGCAAGTTGATCATAGCGCAAGCGTGTATTCCAAGAAAAGCCAAGTCTCTTCGTATTAGGATTTCTAGTGAAATTAAAATCTATAAAGTCAATTCATACGTACCAGTACACTTGGATTTAGTACTACATAAATAGCCAATAAGTCTTTTTAGCTAACAATGGATCTTTTCTGATTGTGTTGCCACGACGCGCAAGATCCAGTTTGGAATCTCATTCAAGAGCTAATGAAGCGCCAGATTAGAGAAGTCCTCCGGGAAACAAGACTATGAAATTCAGTGGCATTGCGAATCCTTCTACTAATTATTCTCTGGTACATTCAGCCATCAGATCTTCCATCTGCTTAAGTGAGCATAGTTCTCAAAAAAATATCTACAAATAATTTCGAAATCAATTCATAGTTTTCATTATGTCCATTGACGATAAATCTCCAGCTTTTAGCTTTTATATGCAAGGAAAACGAGAATATTTTTCCAGTACTTAACTGAACATTGTCTTGATTAACTTATTTCTGTGCCTCATACTCTTAGCCCTTTTATATTTTATCAAGTCAATTCAGCTGGAATGTGTCTTTTTTGTTACCCTTGCCATGCAATACGAATATATCTAGTTTAGTTAAAGTCCGATTATGATTCTTCTTCTTCCCTTAATTAAACCTCGTGGTGCTCATTTACTGTTTATGGACCATTTCTCATAAGCAGCCTCCCTCAATGGCAAGCCTGCCCTAGCTTCATTCGTGATTCGAGATGCAGTCTGCTTGATCGAGTCACGCTCCAGTCACGTTAGCTTGACAACAACTGGCCTATATGATAACGCTCCAGATCCAGCTGCCAGTAGTAGTAGCAGCAGCAGCTTGCAACGCGGCTTTCATGGCGACCTATCAAACCAGAAGACACGTCGTTCCACATTAGGTCAGTCGAATTATGTTGTCCATCTGATACTGGCTGATAAAGTGGAAATTTTATTGGCTTTGACCTGCACAAAGACAGCTACGCGTGCGCCTGGAACTACTATCAGCGACTGGTATAATCACATCGTCAGAAATTCAAGTAAGAGAACTTTTAGTGATGATAATAATTTATTTTGTTCCTACAGATATACTAGAAGATATATTTTTGTGACCATGTTCCTGGATGCATCTTTATAGTATAGTGCTAAAAAAA